TGCTGTGGTTAGGGTTCTCCCCAGCAGGTTAAGCCACTGCCTGCGATGCTGGCATTCCATATTGGAACATCGGTTCCAGTCCCGGCTGGTCCACTTCCCATCCAGCTCCCTGCTAATGTGACTGAGAAAGCAGCAGAAGATGGCCCAAATGCTTGGGCCCCTGGGGCCCTTGCCACCCACGTGGGAGACACAGATGGAGTTCTAGGCTCCTGGCTTTGGCCTGGCCCAGCCCTGGCAGTTGTGGTCTTTGGGGGAGTGAACCAGCAGATGGAAGATCTCTCTGTCATTCTTCCTTTCAAATAAATAAAATCAATTTAGAAGGGCCTCTGAGCTTCTCCCACAGGACAATGACTACTTAACTTTTAAAATGTGTGAAATATTTCGTTTCTGTCCATGGAGAATACAGGGTATTTTTTTTTTCTGTACTAAGACTTTATATTTAAGTGTGAATCACTAACTCTGACAGCGTTAGCTATCAAAATTCCTCACCATGCACTGATCCACAGATTTCAACTCTCCCCCCTTCCTTGCTGGCTCTGCTGGCTCCTTGGTCCTCTCACCCCCTCCCCGACCCCTTTTCTTTAGGTGCTGGCCTGTTCTTTCCTTTCCACTGATAAACCTAGCCCAGTTCTGCCAACAGAACCTGTGTGGTCACTTCTTTCAACCAGGTTGCCACAGACGCAATTGCTGGCCACATCCCTTCGTGGGTTTGAGAAAGTGTAAACAAGTAATAAAACAGTTTAAGAATAACACCAAAAGGTATAAAAGTATTAAAAAGTTATAAAAATAAAATAGCCCTTCCTGCCCTTCAGCCCACCCAACATTTCCACACCTCCCAGCCAACCATTGTTAGCAGTTTGCTGTGTATTTGTCTAGAATTGTTCTACGCTTACAATAGTGTATAGCATACTGCTTCGGCTGCTAATAGATGCTCAGAGCTAGCATGTCTGGTTCTGATTTCTGGTGTTGCCACTTGCTAGGTGGGCAACCCTCAGCGAGTTAACCTCACCATATTTGGATTTATTCATTTAAAATTGAGGTAATTTTAGCATCTATTTCCTAGAGATTTTTTTCTTGAGGATTAATAAGTAAATAAATAGCTAGCAAACACTTAGAGTAACACTAGTATCATTGTACATGCTAACGATTGTTATTATGCGTGCATTTTCATCTGTTGCACAAACGGGATCATATATGTGTACTGTTCTCCATGCTTGTGTCACCTGATAAATGTACATCAGGCATCTTTCGATATTAACACGATCCCAGTCATTGTAATGACAACAATGACATTTGATTGTATGGCTATAAGAGATGGAGTTGTCTGTGGCACAGCAAGTCAAGCCGCCATCTGCAGCACCAGCACCCAATATGGGCACCGGTTCAAGTCCTGGCTGTTTCACTTCCAATCCAACTCCCTGCTAATGTGTCTGGGAAAGCAGCAGAAGATGACCCATGTGTTTGGGTCCCTGCACCCACATGGGAGATATAGATGGAATTTTAGGCTCCTGGCTTCGGCCTGGCCCAGCCTTGGCCATTGCGAACATTTGGGAAGTGAATCAGCAGATGGAAGATCTCTCTCCCTCTTCTCTATCTCTCTCTCTGTAATTCTGAATTGCAAATAAATCACTAGTCCAGAAACGAGCTTAAGCTGCTTTTAATTAATTTTAAAAATTATTTTATTTATTTAACAGGCAGAGAGACAGATAAGCAGGAAGTTCCTATTTGCTGATGCACTCCCCAAATGCCCACCATGGCCATTCTGGGCTGAGACAAATCTGTAAACTTGGAATGCAATCTAGGTTTCCCATGTGGGTGGCAGGAACCCAATTACATGAGCCATCGCCATTTCCTCCCAGGGTCTGCATTGTTGAGAAGCTGGAGTCAGGATCCAGAGCCAAAAAAGAAGCCAGGCGCTAACCATTTAGCTAAATGTCTGTCCAGCACAGTTACTATTCTCACTGATCAATTTCCGTAAGTGTTCCTCTGCAAACATGGTTCTCCGGCAGGCCCTTGGAAAGGAAGTCACCTCCTGCCTGCCCCTTCCCATGACCTGGGGTGGGAAGAACTGATCCCTGAGGAAAGATCTATGTATAACCGGGCAAGAAAGGGGCCTCTGGGAACATATGAGTGATGCGAATATAAAATCATAGGGCCAGATTGTGCATGGATGCAAGTGTGTGTGTGTGTGTGTGCCTGGGTGTGGATTCAGCACCATGACTTTTCCCTTTATCTCCATCTCTGTCGACTCTCCTATTGCTTTCTACCCATTTTACATCTGGGCATCAGAGTATAAAAATCAACAGAGCGCTAAGAACTGTAATCAGAACTAAAGTACAACATGGCTGTCAAGAAACCAGGAGGCACAAAAGTTAGGTGAACAGCCCACTCACAGAAAATTAGCACAGGGAACAGCTGGAAGTACCAGGTTTGGGAGCCTGGTTCAACTGTGTATCAGCAACATTGGCTTTACAGAGCCACACTGAGGATTAGAGGCATCAGACTCATACAGTATCTCTAACGGTGCCTGGCACCACGTAAGCACTGAAGAAATTCACCTGCTATTATCCTTGAAACTAAATTCATCTCCACCTCTGAACCTCCATTTTCTTTGGTGCCAACTTTCTTACATTTCATTCTGTTTAAAGAGAAGTCACAGGAAAGTTATCACACAGAGGCTTAGTGCACAAGTATATAGAACTCCAGAAATGGTTCCAAAAGAGGGGGCCAGAGCCCTATCAGGAGCCATCTGGTCAGATCCTGTAAGCAGCAGGCACAAAAGTCCCTCTGGACATTGGAAATCAGATGGGCATTTATTCAACACATTCCTGTAGGGGTCATTTACAAAATTAAGCCGACACAGCAAAAGGACCCAGCCATCCAGCATCTAGGAGTCATCACAGGCAGAGAAAACGTTTAAAGTGAGGGTAAGATGTTTACTGAAAACCCCGTTTTGCTCAGCAACTCGCCGAGGCCGTGTGCTAATGAAGGCTGGCAGATCCTGCTCGGGATGTATGGCTCGTATGCTGGAGTTCACACAATGTTTTTCACTAGTATTTTCTTCTCCAGACCAAGGCAGAAATACGTGTGTCCTGTGGGGTGTGTCCGCGACAGAGCAGAATCAAAACGACGCTGGCCACTGAGCTCGAGAAATCCAGCTGCCTTCTGACAGCCTCTGCACGCACAACAGTGGCATTGTATGCAGGGAGAAACAGAACTGAGGCTTTCCTGCAAGCATAGCTGAACTTGAACCGCCCGGCGCGGTGCAGAGACTAGCAGCCAGCTCCCAGCCCAGGCACCCCTCCCCTGCCGCCCTCGTCTCTGCGAGAGAATTTAGTTCCATTTAAGTCCAGCAAAATGGCAAACAGCACTGCAAGCACCACTTCCATTCATGGCAATGGGGATCCTCCAAAGCAGCGGGAACCCCCCTTCCACTCCCAGGGCCGCTGGATTCGCTCCGACCTCCTCCATTTCCTTTCCTCTAGACACCCCAGAGGGACAGGATAGGGCCGAAGAACTAGGGTTTAACTTTTAAGTTTTTTTTTTTTTTTTCCCAAAAGAAGAACCACCAATATCAGCAAAAAGAAGGGAGTCTCTAATTACTAACACAGTCAGGATGTTAGTTAGCCACAATTCAACTTCTGCATCTTTCAGATAAAGAAACTTAGGCCAGAGAGGCTGGCAGCCAGAGGGGCGCTTGGAGCAAGGGACTACCCCCCCAGGACCCACCCACCTATCTTGGGAGTTGGCTGAGGGCCGTGCCCTCCTGTGCCAGGTTCACCGGCACTGTTCCCTTCCCATTAGCGGTTCCCGCTCCACTGCTGTGTGCTACATCCCGTGCTTGGGAGAAGGAAGCAAAACCCTACCGCGCAGGAGTTTCTACAGACTGGTGCAGTTCCTTTTCTGTGAATCCACTTCGTCTCTGGTATTTCCCCAGTCCCCGCCACTGAAATCATAAGCCGGGCTTTTTTGTCCCTTTAGGTTCAGATCTTTATAGTCATAGTCATGCTTCGTGTCCCGTCCCCCCCCCACACACACACACTTTGGATACCTCAGCTAGTCCTGTTCATTATCCACTTAAATATTTAATCATCTGTCAACAGACATTTCTTTTCCTCCTTCCGGGGGCCACGCACTGCCCCTTCCTGCTACGGCCCCTTCCATTCCTCTCCCTTCGTTCATTCAGCCCCGTTGCAGGCTTGTGCACCCTCCAGTTGACTAGTGCCACACCAACGACCTGGTTGCTTGCAGCCCAGCCTCTCTGTCTCCAAAATGTTGCATCAGGGGCCGGCCCTGTGGCGTAGCGGATAAAGCCGCCGCCTGCAGTGCTGTTATCCCATATGGGTGTTGGTTCCAGTCCCAGCTGCTCCACTTCCAATCCAGCTCTCTGCTATGGCCTGGGAAAGCAGTGGAATTTGGCCCAAGTCCTTGGGCCCCTGTACCCACATGGGAAGACCAGGAAGAGGCTCCTGGCTCCTGGCTTCGGATCGGCGCAGCTGATCATAGAGCATCCGACTGCTCTACGACTCACCGGCCATGCCAGCCTTCTGCTCCTCAGTCCACGGCTGACGGCGACCCGCGCGCTCACCAATTCAGGGTCTCGGCCATCCCCCAGGTTCGCCACTTGTCCTGCAACCACCTTACCCACCCAAACTTTTTTTTTTCCTCCATGATTCTCTCCTAATTCTTCTTTAACTGATGAAATTGCACTCACCCTTTGAGGCCTGAAAAGTCCCTGGTCCCCAGCCCCAGCACAATGATCCCTCCCTCCTTCTCCCCAAGCACTCCTCTGTAGCACACGCGCACACGACTTGCTGCGCGCTTAGGTGTTCATAGGCTGTCTCCGCACCTGGATTCTGAACACAGGTGCCTCCCCCACACACAGGGATCATCCTTTTGGTTTGTATTCCAATTTGCAGCATCGCATAGGCATGGAATTACTTAAATAACTCCTACCTGGCCCAGCACTGAGTCCTCTGCAGGCGCTCAGCAAAGACTTGCTGAGCAGGTGAAGTTAATCTGACATCAGTACATCACCCATGGTGTAGGCAGGTATGTAAAAAAAAAAAAAGCAATTGTCACACACACACACACACACACACACGATGTTCAGAGGACATTATTTTTAAATGGGAAACTTCCCTTCTTGGGAAATCAAGGACAAAGAGGCTGAACATCCAAGCAGAACTTTGAACTTTCTCCTAGGACACACTATTTTAGGACCCTAGAGAATTCCTCTTTAAAAGAGAACTATCCCTCCTTGACACATTATTTTAAAAAATTAGAAAGTAGCATGAACTCAAAATTGTTAAGGGATAAAAATATTATGTTTCCAAGGGAAACAATCTTATTGCACTAAGCACAAGGAAGACATATCTAATCTGGAATTAATAAATGTTAAAGAAAACTAAGGCAACGTCATTGGCAACATGAGACACATGGAGGGCAGGATAGCCAGAGTGATAGTAGGTGTGATCTTTCTGGCGGAGCCACTTTGATTACTGTTCATTTATTCAAGGAGATTTATTTTTCTCCCTGAGCCCTCTCCACCACAATAGTCCTCTGTTTTGTTTAAATACTTTCCTCAAACACCTAAGCTTTTAAGATTTCAGACCATTTGTTTGCTATTTAATAGCTCATATGGCATTTTCACAATTTTTAAAAGAATGTTGGGTCAGAAAACCGAGCACATCAGGATGATGTTGTGGACAGTATCAGCCACTAAAAATACACTTCCTGTAAGACGCGGAGAACTGCCTCGCTTTCACGGAGAAGCACAGTTTATCCTCCTAGAACTGGATCTCTTATCAAGTACATATTACGGACGAGACACTGAGCCTGGATTGGAGTCCTGGCTCTGCTTCTGATTCCAGTTTCCTGGTACTGTGCACCCCGACAGCCGCAAGTGATGGCTCAAGTAGGCACGAGACTTCCCCCGGTCAGCTGTCTCTTCTGAAACTTCACTCTTCCCCTACAACTCCCTCCACAGCCCCCAGCTTCCTCCCTCAGTGCTGTGCCGAGTTCTTCACCAGATCCACGGAGGCCACCTACATGGGAGACCCAGATTGAGTTCCAACGCTCCTGGCTTTGGCCTGGTCCAGTCCTAGCTGTTGCAGGCATTTGGGGAGTAAGCCAACAGATGCAAGAGCTTTCTCTCTCTCTCTCTCTCTCTCTCTCTCTTCCCTCTCTCGCATCTCTCTTTCAAATAAAAATAGATTTTTTTAAAGACTCTTATCCATTGATTTGAGAGGTAGAGTTACAGACAGAGAGAGGGAGAGAGAGAGAGAGAAAGGTCCTCCCTCCGTTGGTTCACTCCCCAGATGGCCGCAACGGCTGGAGCTGCGCTGATCCAAAGCCAGGAGCCAGGTGCTTCTTCCTGGTTTCCCACATGGGTGCAGGGGCCCAAGCACTTGGGCCATCCTCCACTGCCTTCCCAGGCCACAGCAGAGAGCTGGATCGGAAGAGGCGCAGCTGGGACTAGAACCAGTGCGCATATGGGATACTGGCACCGCAGGCGGAGGATTAACCTACTGTGCCACAGCACCGGCCCCCAAAATAGATTTTCTTAACACATCAACTTTGCCATATATGGCACGAGGCTTTGATCTGGGAAGTTCGTCACTCACTCCTTTCACGCATCTACAGAAATCGTGTGGTCTTCCTCTCGCCAGGCGCATTGTCTTGGTGCCACACATCTGCCTGTGACTAACGGCTCTCAGCAGAACACGAGGAGGAGGTTCCTGGTGAGGGCGTCCCTCTCTTCTGTTGTGGTTGCTGAATCACCCCACTTCCCGTGTCTGGCCCTTCAGGGTAGCCACCTACCACTACTCACTTGGTTCTAAACGCCTTTGTTCATCTTTGATGTCCCAGGAACCAAGCCCACTGGGTCTCCTTTGGCTTCAGAGTCATGCTGTGTACAAAACAATCCCAGCATCTACAGTCATCGAACGGCATTGGGAGAAACATTCTCAGGAACTCGGGACTACCGTTTCAGCAGGCGTATTTCTGTCTAAATGTACTGGAGAATAAAAGGGTTCCCAGGGCCTCTGGCGTGCCTCCAGCAAAGGACTGCTACACCCCAGAGGAATTGGATTGTTGCCCAGTGAGTGGCCTTTGGAGTGACCTGAACTTTATATACTGTTCTGAATAGATGCCCTGTGGCATCAGGCAGCAGGGGAATTTTCGAAGGCTGCTCTATGGAAGTCATCTGATACTTACGTTCCCTTGCAAGGGGTCAGATATGCTACCCTCCAGCAAGCCTGGTCCCCAGACCTGGTACTAGAGGACCTCTCCCATTTGAACTTCCCTTGGCCAATGGCACTGATATCCCACCCTTAGCAGCAGACTCTTGCCTGGGAGACCTTGTATTCCCTTCAATTAGGTTTAACAGATGTTATCTGTATGCCAGATCTTGTGTTTAGCTACTGTGAATTAAAAAGAAAAACAAGAATAGGAAAAGGAGAAGGAAAAGACCTGGTTCTTGCGTGAAGAGCTCACAGACCATTGCTGTGGGTTGTCATCAAACAGCCTGGCAGCCTGGGCGCCACTGGAACTCAGAAGAGAGGGGCCCAAGCTGGGAGCCAGGAGCTCAGTCCAGGTCTCCCATGTGAGTGGCTGACACCAAATGCCTTGAGCCATCACTAGGGCCTCCCAGGTCTGCATCAGCAGGAAGGTGGAATCAAAGGCAGGAATCGAAAGCTGGGAGCTGAACCTAGGGCCTCTGATGTGAGATGCAGGTGTCAAGCCCTGTGCTAAATGCCTACTCCGAGACGGTGAATTTTTGTAAGGCCTGTGTCACCAAGACCACAGGTCACTCCACAAGTATTCCCTTATCTAAACGATAACATCTCTTTCAAGGGGTTTAACTTGGGACGAGGCAAAGGAGAAGCAGCCATGGCTCCCTCTCCTGTGGGTGAAAGGGCTGTGCGCGCTGAGAGGAAGAGCACCAGGAAGCTGCCTGGTGGCCTCCGGTGGATCTGGTGAAGAACTCGGCACAGCACTGAGGGAGGAAGCTGGGGGCTGTGGAGGGAGTTGTAGGGGAAGAGTGAAGTTTCAGAAGAGACAGCTGACCGGGGGAAGTCTCGTGCCTACTCCATGGCCGCACAGCCATTTGAATGCCTTTTCTCCTGTGTGTTTGTTTTTGTTTTTGTTTTTGTTTTAAGTTTTATTTATTTGTTTGAAAGTCAAGAGTTACAAAAGAGAGAATAAGAGATGGGGGCAGGGGAGAGAGAGAGAGAGAGAGAGAGAGAGAGAGAGAGAATCTTCCAGCCACTGGTTTACTCCCTAGATGGCTGCAACAGCCAGGGCTGGGCCAGGCCAATTCCAGGAGCCAAGAGCTTCACCTGGGTCTCCCATGTGGGTGTAGCGGCCCAAGCACTTGGGCCATCTTCCATTGCTTTTCACAGGCCAATACAAGGGGGCTTGATTGGAAGTAGAGCAGCCTAGCCAGCGCCGCGGCTCACTATGCTAATCCTCTGCCTTGTGGCGCCGGCACCCCAGGTTCTAGTCCCGGTCAGGGTGCCAGATCCTGTCCTGGTTGCTTCTCTTCCAGGCCAGCTCTCTGCTGTGGCCCGGGAGTACAGTGGAGGATGGCCCAGGTCCTTGGGCCCTGCACCCGCATGGGAGACCAGGAGGAAGCACCTGGCTCCTGGCTTCGGATCAGCGCAGCGCAGGCCATAGAGCAGCCAAGACACAAATCAACACCCATAGGAAAGCTGGTATCGCAGGTGGTAGCATTAACAGCTCCACACCACGATGTTGGCCTCCTCTCTCGTGTTTTTATTGTGAAGGGGGCATTGCGCTTTTCTGTCAACTTCCTGTATCAGACATAGTTGTCTACTTCCAGATCAGTTCCTACCTTCAAAAGTTGCCATGTCTAGTTCTTTCAGTAACCATAGATAATAAATGAATAAATAAAGCTTTTCCTAGCTTCTGATAGCCCTGAGAGCATCCATTTCAATTCCTGGGCCTCTGAAGACTTGGAACACTCAACAGAACACCTAACCCGACTCCCGCAATATCTTACCCAAGTTTCACTTGCAGATTTCTGTTTCTTTTGCTGGAAACTTCTGGACTTTGTTCAAGGAGAAATGCAGCCAGGCTTGCTGCAATGCCAGGCAAGAAACTACGCGAAGGAGCTGTGGTTGGCGGCCCCTTCACAAGCTCAGCTCCCTCCTGATAAAAGAAGACAGAAAAGCCAGCACGTGAAATGCAACGAGAAGTTGAAATCAAAAGCCTGTTTGTACATTGTCCCACGGGTTATAGTATCTAGACCAAGTCCAGAGGAGTTCTTTTCTCCTAAACTCACACAGCAGAGGTGAGAGTCCTTTGGTAACCCGGATGTGAAATGTCGACTTGTGTGGATCTTTTCACGGATGAACCCCAAATCCTCAGACGAAAGTAGTTCTATGTGAACTCAGTTGTCTGTGTTTTGTGAACCTTTCGTTCCCAAGGAAGAGTCACTGCCAAAAGGGACAAACTGTCCTCCCTGTTCTCACTGCAATACCTTCTCCCACCCCTTCTCCACACAGCAAGCGGGGCAGGCTCTTAGAAACACACCTGGACTACGTCTTCTGCTCACACCTCCTGGAGCGGGGTGGGGTGTGGTGGAATGAGAAGGTGAGAAGGTCATGCCAAGATGGCTGCTGAGGTGAGAAGGTCATGCCAAGATGGCCACTGACAACAGAAACTGCCTGGCAACAGGCATGATTGGATGGCTTCGGAAACCACATGACAACAGAGCCTGACTGGCAACAGGCTATGATTGGATGGCTTTGGAAACTGCCTGGCAACAGGCTGTGATTGGTTAGGGAATAGACCGCCCCTTGACCAGATTGGCTGCCTTGGCTATCTAAGCAGCTGTAGCAACTGAAATAAATGAGTCTGAGGGCTGCTAGCCTCTGGCCCGCTTTCACCCGACTCCCGGGGTCTGTGTGGTGGCTCCGTGCCTCTTGCCCCCACCACGCTCCTCTTCTCAGAACGAATCCTCTCAGAAGAAATCAACTTCAACAGTGGGGTTGGGGGGACTATCACTGGAATGTTAACACACTCACTTCTCGGTGCCATGAGGCTTTGGGAAAATGAAAGGTGGGTTTCTCTCCTTGCCAGACCTGGCTCTGCCTTGAGCAGGAGAGGGAAGAAGCCCCACTACAGATAGAGAAACTTCAAATGGAAATCGAGTTCCCCCTGTTCCTTTCTGTGTCATCCCTTCGTCCTGCCCCCAGGGTGGCCATTTGTCAAGCTGGTGCAAGTTTTCCTTATTTAAAGCTCTGGGCCTTCGCAGACAGAGAATTGGCTATGACCTCCAAAGAAAGGGCCGTGTTTTCAGGGAATGTCCCACACTCCTAACCCCTATCATAATCTATGCTGAGGGGTCCTAAGTTCTATTTCCAGCCTTGAATTCTCACCAGACACCTGTGTGAGGTCATAATTACCAACCAAATAAAGTCTCCAAGTTGAAGCCAACATATTGAAAGTGAGATTTGCCATTTGTCCTCAAGCATCAGGCGCCCCCTCTGACACTCTCCTCTCTGCGGTGGGATATCATTCTCTAAATTACCCAGCCATGGAAGCTCAAGCAGGGTCACTCATATTTGATTTACCCACTCTGTAAATTCAGGCCGGGGCTAGTGTCGCAGCGCAGAAGGTTAAGCTGCCACCTGCAACACTGGCAATCACATATGAGCATCAGGTGGAGTCTGGCTGCTCTACTTCCAATCAAGCTCCCTGCTGACGCATCTGGAAAGGCAGCGGAAGATGGCCCAAGTATTTGGGTCCCTGTCACCCATGTGGGAGACTTGAATAGAACTCCTGGCTCCTGGCTTCTGCCTGCCCCAGCCCCAGCTGTTGGACCATTTGGGGAGTGAACCAATGGATGGAAGATCTCCCCCCACCCCATCACTGTGCCTTTCTAATAAATAAAATAAATCTTCAAAATAAAATAAATAATTTGAGGTCAAATCCTATAATACAAAATTCATCATTTTAGCAATTTTAAAGTGTACAATAATTTTTAGTATATTCTCAACGTTGTACTGCCATCATCACTATCTAATTCTAGAATATAGTTGGATCATGTTTCTTTAAAATCTACTGCCAATCTCTGACTTTAATTGGAGAGTTTAACCCATTTATATTTAATAAAGTTAACTGATGAGGAAGGAGTTAATTCCACCATTTTGCTGTTGTTTATACTTCTTGTCATTCCTCAATTTCTCCATTACTATTTTAATGAGTAATTTTCTAAGGTGCTATTTTAATTTCATTATCACTTCCTTTACTGTATATATTTTAGTTCTTTTCTTAGTAGTTTTCCTGAGAATTACAGTCAATGCCTTAATTTACTGCAATCTAATCCAGACTAATATTAAGTTAATTCATCAGTATATGATATTTTGCTCCAATGCAGCTCAGTTTCTTCGTCTTTTTGTAAGCTATTATTGCCACAGATTTCATCTGTATGTTTCACCAGTAACACAAGTTTATAAGTATTGTTTTATGCAGTTATATTTTAAATACATTTAAATATATTTTAAATTAGAAAAAAGAGAAGGCACACACAAAAAGTAGAGTAATACTATCTTTTATATTTATATACATAATTACCATTACTGACATTCTTTATTTCTTCTTGTGGATTTGAATTACCCTAGTATTCTCTGATTCCAGCCTACAGGGCTCTTTTTCATAATATTTTTAGGGTAGATTTGCTAACAACAAACTGTGTTTTGCTTTGTTTTTAATCTGAGAATGGCTTAATTTCTCCAATTCTGAAGAACATTTTTGCCATGTATATGTTTTGCTGCTGCTCTGGCCTCTGGTTTCTGATGAGAAGTCCATTCTCAATTTTATTAAACATCCCTTGTATGTGATGAATTGCTTCTTGTTGCTTTCAAGAGTCTCTCTGACTTGAATTTTCAACAGCCTGACTATTGTATCAATCAGCTTTCTGTCACTATAACAAATACCTGCAAAGTGCTACTTAGGAAAGAAGGCTTTCTTTCTTTTTTCCTAAGATTTATTTTATTTATTTGAAAGACAGAGTTACAGAGAGAGGTAGAGACAGAGAGAGAGGTCTTCCATCCTCTGGTTCACTCCCCAAATGGCCACAACTGCCAGAGCTGAGCCGGTCTCGAACATGGATGCAGGGGTCCAAGGACTTGGGCCATCTTCCACTGCTTTCCCAGGTGCATTATCAAGAAGCTGGATCAGAAGTAGAGCAGCTGGAACTCAAACTGGCAACTGTATGTGGGATGCCAGCACTGCAAGCCGGGGCTTTAGCCTGTTGTGCCACAGTGCCACACCTGGAAGGCTTGTTTTCAGCTCAGGGTTTTGGACACTCAGCCCAAGATCTGGCAACCCACCTAGCCTGACGACTGACAAGAGCAGTGCGTGGCAGAGCATGGGTAGTGGGAGGATTCCATGGTGAGGGAGGAGGCAGAGAGAGATGGTGATCTGGCTTATGTAACCAACCCTCTCTCAAGCAGTGTTCTGAAGGCAAGCCCCCAATGACATGAAGATCTCCCATAGGCCCACCTCCCAGACACCATAACTGGATCAGGCCTCCAACAGCAGTTCATCACCATTAACCATTAGCATAAGACTTAGTGGTTTAATTGGGGGAGCCAAATCATATTCAGACAATAAAAATATGAAGTGTCTGTGTGTGGCTCTCTCTCAGTTTGTTGTCTCCCTGAAGATGTGAACTAATATGATTTTTCATCAAATCTGGGAAATATGGGGACGTTATTTATTCAAATACTCTCTCTACTCCCTTCTATCTCTCCTTTCTTTTGGGAACTCATCATAACTTAGTTCACTTAACAGTGTCCCATCAGGGTCTTTTGCTCCATTCATTTTTCTTCATTCTTTTTCCTTTCAGTCCCTCAGGCTGGATAATCACAATTCATCTGTCCTCCGGTAACTGATTTCCCTGCCTCCTCGGATCTGCTATTGAGCTGCTCAAGTGAATTTTTCACTTAAATTACTATACTTTTCAATTCCAGAATTTCTACTTGGTTTCTTCTGGTAACTTCTATCTCTGTGTTGCTATTCTATTTGGTGAGGCAATGTAGGGTTTCCAATTTCTTGTTAGTTCCTTAGGAATGGCTTCCTTTAGGTCTCTGGACGTATTTGGTAATACGCAATATGTCTGGACTATATTTGGTAAGTGCTATAGGTCTAGGCTTCTTCAAGAATACTTTCTTTAAAAAAAAAAAAAGTTTTAAGGCCGGCGCCATGGCTCACTGGGCTGGTCCTCCACCTGTGGCGCCGGCACCCCTGGTTCTGGTCCCGGTTGCTCCTCTTCCAGTCCAGCTCTCTGCTGTGGCCCAGGAAGGCAGTGGAGGATGGCCCAGGTGCTTGGGCCCTGCACCCACGTGGGAGATCAGGAGGGGGCACCTGGCTCCTGGCTTCGGATCAGTGCAGCACGCCAGCTGTAGAAGCCATTTGGGGGGTGAACCAATGGAGGGAGGACCTTTCTCTCTGTCTCTCTCTCTCTAACTCTGCCTGTCAAAAAAAAAAGTTTTAAAACTAATTTTATTTTTATTTATTTGAAAAGCAGAGAGAGAAGGGTGGGGAGAGAACTTTTTTATTTAATTTATTTACTTGGCAGGTAGAGTTACAGTGAGAGAGAGAGACAGAGAGAAAGGTCTTCCTTCCATTGGTTCACTCCCCAAATGGCTGCTATGGCCGGCGCTGCGCTGATCTGAAGCCAGGAGCCAGGCACTTCTTCCTGGTCTCCCATGCGGGTGCAGGGGCCCAAGCACTTGGCCCATCCTCCACTGCCCTCCTGGGCTGCAGCAGAAAGTGGGACTGGAAGAGGAGCAACCAAAACTAGAACCCGGTGCCCATATGGGATGCCGGCACTGCAGGCGGAGGATTAACCTAGTGAGGTACGGCGCTGGTAGAACTTCTATCAAATAGTTCACTCCTCAAAAGGCTGTAACATCTGGGGCTAAGCCAGACCAAAGCCAGGAGCCTGGAACTCCATCCAAATCTGCCATGTGGGTGGCAAGGACCCAGGTTCTAGAGCCATCACCTGCTGCTTCTGAGGATGTGGGTTATCAGAAATGTAGGTAAGAAGCAGAACCAGGTAAGAGAAACAGAACCAGGTGTTCAGACGTGGGATGCAGACATGCCAAGCACCATCTTAACCACTGCACAAATGCCCAACA